TTAACTAAACTTTCTCTGTAGGAAAAACCCTTTTTAACTTCTCCCAGGCTGACTGTAATCTAAATCTTACTGATGTAGGCTCCGCTACTGGGTTGAACTGCGTCTCGATCACCGAGTGGACCTACCAGTAAGGCCAGTAGATTCTCCAGCTGGAGTTCTTTGGTCTTCCAAAACTGTTTACCCTCTGAAATTCCTCAAAGCTTTTGGGCTGTTTCCCTGGAAATCTTTGAAAATGTTTGGATGCTCTTAAGACTGTTCTCCCCTGGAAAGTCTTAAGGGTTGAAGCTTTTGTACAAGAGAAGCTTGAACACGTCCTGTACATTAGCTTTCCTTACTGAGACTAACTAAAAATGGCTCCCTTCCCTTCCCAATTGCCCTGAGCAAGGGACGGAACCAAAACTTAATGATGATGGAAAGGTGACCTGCCCTACGACTGCAACCAAAGGAAGCCACCTTTCTGCAGAATCCCAGGAACCTTGGACTGCAAGCAAACATTTAATACAAAGCAAATAAAGTTAGAGCTCCTGGTACAGCCGTACCAGCACATCGACCTTGATGAAGGAAGAACTTTAGATCGAGTGGACTGTTTAGAATTCAAGGTCCGAAGGAGTGTAAGAATAGCCAACAAGAGGGAAGCTAAGGGTCAGAGAAACGGCTTCATGTTTTGCAAAGGGTATTAAACAGGCTGTTTGAAAATATCTCAGTATCAGAGCAACTTCTTGTTTCAGTCGAGGGGCTTACCTTTTGTTTGCCTGGATTTTTCATGTTCGTGGTTTCAGGACTTTGTCATGTTCTCCTGGGACTTTGCCTTGCTGGTGCCTTTGTGGATTCTGCTTTCAAGTGTTACCTTGTACTGATCTTTGGAACATTACTTTTGCTTTTAAGAACTTTCTATCTTTTACTTTTAATAAACTATAAAGACTACAGGCTGTGTGCTGTTTAGTGTCTTAAGCAAGGTGATTCTACTCTGAGGTGTGACAGTAAGAAGCTCCTGCCTTGTGTCATGTCTTAACTTCATGCCAAGTTTCCTAGTCAAGTTTTGCTACCAGTCTTGGGGATTTTACAGGGTTACTATAACCTATATACAACAGTCTCGGCACTCAGCTACCACACCCCAATTACAATGACACCTGTGGTTAAGCCTGAAACACGGACCCTGTTGTCACTTAAAGGAATGTTGTGTAACTTTACAAATCCTGACAGAAGATCTAGAAAGTCTGAGAAAAGACTCCCCTTGTCCATGACCTTTTTCACTTTCTCCACATTCTCTCCTAGAAACCATTTTCAAGAAAGGAAAACTGAGGTCTGCTAACATGTGGCAGATTTTTGAGAGGAACATCTACTATATTTCCGATACAGAGAAGACTTGGTTCGATGCGGACAACTATTGCAAGACTCGGGATTCCAACTTGGTTTCCATCTTAAGTGAAAAAGAGCAGGTCTAATATCTTTCCTCTCTCATTGTTGGAGTTTTTTAAAATGTCTTTATTTTAAAATTATGATACACCCACAAAACATAAACACATGTACACATACATAGACATAGACATCCTGCCACTCACAATACAATTACCCCACATCCTGTCTGTGCCATCACACCCAGACCCTATAAAAAATAAACTAAGATGTGCTTCTTTCTTTGTCTGGGCGGACCACGGGGGTCTTTCTTTAGAAGCTTGAGATTCCCAGCAGCTGAGGCTACTACAGGCTTTGAACATCAAAACAGAATATTTATTTCTCAAAGTCTTTGCAGACTTGGCACAGCTTGTTAAAGTTACGAGCAAAACATTAAATTGGTGAAACAATAGAGATGATCTTTCTTTCCTTTCCTTTAGTTACTGAGATAATGTTGCAGAATATACGTTACCCGAGATCACTAGAGTACAATCAGGAAGGAAGAGAACGGAGACGGCAATTGATTTCAGGCTTTACTATCAAGCAAGATAGGATATACAGATCACAAGACTGTCACAAGTTTGAAGTCGCAATTGTTCCAGTTTTTATAGTATAAAGTCACTTGTTTACACATGCACAGAAAGGATCTGACATTTACACAGTACAATCATTAACTGGTGTTTTCCATGTATAGTTGCCAAGGAAATCTTTATCAGGTCTTGGCAGGCACCTTGTGACCCCAAACATCTGCTCGGTTATATAACTTATCTCAACTTTCACCCGTTACCCTAAGATGACACGTATATGTTTAATTCTTTTAAATCTCTAATTGAATTATAACTTTTATATACTTATAACATAAGATTTGATCAAGGCAATCTCCTTTTAGTTAAATTCAGTCTTAATAACTTCATTAACTTATTTCTTTATATGAATAATCATGAAGGAAAAACACTAGGATGAAACTCTTCTAAAATTGCCTGCTATTTACATTAAGTAGTCAGAAGATGGCGTTCTCACCATATGACCTTAGATGTTCCAAGTCTTGGATCGATATATTGATTTCTTTGTCCTGCCAAATTTCTCTTGTTTACTTCATATCTATGTCCACATCGCCTAGAATAAACATGGCTAAAACAAACATTGGCTAGAACAAACATAGCTAGAACAACCTGATCCACGATTCAGTGTCAATCAATATCTGCAGGTTTTCTCATGCATGCAAATTTAGAACAGGTCTTCTCAGATTCAGGTAGGAACAAAAATCTTTTATTTTATTCTAAATTATTATGATTTTCCTTTATTATTTTATTTTTCTCCTAACGGCTGCCACATTAACATTTCCCCAAAAGGCAGAAGAGAATCCTGAGATCTTTTCACCCTAACCCTGAGCTGCTATGGTTTAGAAAAAAGCAGGTTTTTCCCTATCTATAGCTCAAGGTTAGCTTTGGAGATGAAGTAATGCTCAATATATAACTCAATACCTATCCTATCCTATCCTATCCTATCCTATCCTATCCTATCTATCTATCTATCTATCTATCTATCTATCTATCTATCTATCTATCTCTATAGTACTCAATTGCTTCTCTATCTAAATCTCAATATGCTTCTATATAGCTCAATATAGTATCTCAGTCTTCCTACCTAGTGCTCTATCAGTATTGATCTTTCTATCTATTTCTTAATCTAATTAACTCAATCGTTCTTATAATGGTTTTTTTCAGAGTTACCTGCCTAACGAACAGCACATCTGAATCTTTCTTCTCTACTGAAGGAGACAGGGGAGATTCCAAAATGGAGATCTCAACCCCTGGAAAAAGGGCGGTCCCTAAACCTAAAGAGATACTTTCTAAACCAATAGCTGCAAAAGGGGCCTGCAGGCTGGCTTTGCAGACTCTGATACTGCTTAACTTCCAAGGTGCTGCAGAGTCTGTAGCAGCCCTGGGGAAATGCAAAAGAATCCTATCCCATGCAACTAAAAGGTAATGCAAACTATGCTCCTGGAAGACAGAACACTGTCCGCAGTGCAATCCACCACCTTGTCTTCCATCACTCTTCCTTGCAGAGTTTATGCATATTTTTTAAACTTCTGTATTACAATGTACACATACATGGCAAACATTCAATGCCATAGACACACAACACATATAGACAGACAGTCAGAGGCTATTTAAATTTTCTGGCCACCAGCGGAGCTGTCGCTTCACCGTCCATCTGCGACACTGATAAAGTACTTTCTGCATTTCCCGCATACTTTTGCTGGAGATTTTTAATGGCCTTGTAAATTAGTTAAATTAGCCTCCCCACACATAGGTGGAACCTAAATTTCCTACTTGACAGATGCAACTGTCTTTCGGGTCAGCTGCACCACAGTCCCTTCCATTTTATGAGCCCAGGATTCTACAAGAATTGCTGCTGTGCGCACTCCAATTGTTCTGATGTGGCAGGAACACATCAGGTGACTCCCCGACTGTTTCAGCCACGTATTGTCGAAGGCATTCATGACTGGAATTACTGAGTTGTTGTAGGTTTTTTCGGGCTATATCGCCATGAGGCATTGTGCCGTCACACCCAGATCCTATAAAATTTAAACTAAGATGTGCTTCTCTCTTTGTCTGGGTGGACCACAGGGGTCTTTCTTTAGAAGCTCAAAAATTCTCAGCAACTGAGGCCACTTCAGGTTTGGAACATCAAAACAGAATATTTCTCAAATTCCTCGCAGACTTGGCACAGTCAATTGGTCTTTCTTTCTTTTTCCTTCAGTTCCTTCCATTACTGAGGTAACTCTTCCCCAAATGGTAGAAAATATTCTGGGATCCTTTCACCCTAACCCTGAGCTGCTATGGTTCGAAAAACAGGTTTTTCCCTATCTATAACTCAAGGTTAGCTTTGGAGATGAAGTAATGCTCAATAATATTCAATAACTCAATGTCTATCTATAACTCAATTGCTCACTTGCTATCTATCTATCTCAATTAGACCCAATATTACTCAATCATATCTCAATTGCTATTCTATCTATCTGTCTGTCTGTCTGTCTGTCTGTCTGTCTCAATTAGCTTCTTTATCTATATAACTCAATCACTCAATCAACTCAATCGTACTTACAATGAACTTTTCAGAGCTACCTAGCTGACCACAGCACATTTGAAGCTTTCTTTCTCTACACTGAAGGAGGCAGAGGAGATTCCAAAATGGAGGTCTCAAGCCCAGGAAAAAGGGTGGTCTCTAGACCCAACAAGATACTTTTCTAAACCAATAACTGCAGAGGGCCTGCAGTCTGGCTTTGCAGACTCTGATACTGCTTAACTTCCAGGGTGCTGCAGAGTCTGTAGTAGCCCTGGGGAAATGCAAAAGAATGCTATCCCATGCAACTAAAAGGTAATGCAAACGATGCTCCTGGAAGACAGAACAGGCATTCTCTCCTGACGTTTCGCCTGCATCTATGGCAAGCATCCTCAGAGGTAGTGAAAAAACCTACAACAACCCACTCTTTCAGCCACTTTTGAAATGTCCCACTTTCTCTACCCTCCTGCCTTTCCCCCCTTTGTCCTTAAGAGAACCTGACATCCTGTGGTTCCTCCTTCTCTCTCTTGCAGTTTTTCATCAGCAATCTGGTCTCACACCCTACTTGGATCGGCTTTACAGATGAAAATGTGGAAGGGGACTGGGTTTGGTCCGACGGCTCCTTTGTGCTAATCGAGTGAGTTTTTCCCATTTCTTGCTTTGGAAGGGTATGGTGGTCCTGAACCCTTCTGTGAAACATCAGATATGGCATCTAGAGTAGGAGTGGGTGGCTGTGGGACTTTATCGCCTCTCCAAAGGATGCTGGAAACATTTCTTGCACTTATAAGGACCGACTTATGGCAACCTTAGGGTGAACCTTTCACAGTGGGTGCCTTTATGCAGAGGGAACATCAACACTGTACTGAAGCATTCGTAAGTATTGGCATCTCAGGATGTTTACCTGGGAAATGAACATGAAATTTAGGATGCCTATACATGGAATCATGGGCCTTGTAGTTTTCCAAGGTCTTTAGCCTTCTCTGCCAAAGAGAGTTGGTTCCTCAGCAACCTACAACTCCCAGGAGTTCCATAGCATTGGGCCATGGCAGCTAAAGTGGTGTCAAACTAGATTAATTCTGCAGTATAGATGCATCTTTAGAACAAGGTCCATTTTAGCACACTCCAGTCAATCATAGAGCTGGAAGAGATCCTGGTGGGCCATCCAGTCCAACCCCATTCTGCCAAGAAGCAGGACAAATCGCATTCAAAGCACCCCCAACAGATGGCCATCCAGCCTCTCTTTAAAAGCCTCCATAGAAGGCGCTTCCACCACACTTTGGGGCAGAGAGTTCCACTGCTGAACAGCTCTCACAGTCAGGAAGTTCTTCCTAATGTTCAGGTTTATTTATTTATTTATTTATTTACTATATTTGTATGGGAGCCCCCGGTGGCACAGTGGGTTAAACCACTGAGCTGCAAAGCTTGTTGACTGAAAGGTCGCAGGTTCAAAACCGGGGAGCAGCGTAAGCTTCCACTTTCAGCCCCAGCTTCTGCCAACCTAGCAATTTGAAAAAATGCAAATGTGAGTAGATCAATAGGTACCGCTCCGGTGGGGAGGTAACGGCACTCCATGCAGTCATGCTGGCCACATGACCTTGGAGGTGTCTACGGACAACGCCGGCTCTTTGGCTTAGAAATGGAGATGACCACAACCCCCCAGAGTTGGACATGACTGGACTTAATGTCAGGGGACAACCTTTACCTTTACTATATTTGTATACCACTCTTCTCAGCCTTTTGGGCGACTCAGGGCTGTTTACAGAGGCAACAATTCGATGCCCAAAAATATCATAAAATAATTTAAACATTAAACTTGATATAAAACCATTACAAGAGTAATAAAAACATATTTACGTCTTTTAATTAAAAACATGTCCAATCTCGTCGTCAGTCGTTCCGTATTCCTATGTCTTTAACACTGCATTTTCAAACGCTTGCTCAAACAACCAAATCTTAACTCTTTTCCAAAATGTTAAGAGGGAAGGGACTGATCTAATGTCCCTAGAAGGGCGCTCCATAGCTGAGGGGCCACCACTGAGAAGGCCCTGTCTCTTGTCCCTGCCAAACATATTTGTGGTGCAGGTGGGATCGAGAGCAGGGCCTCCCCAGATGATCTTAAAGTCCTAGCAGGTTCATAAGGGGTGATGCGTTCTGACAGGTAAGCTGGGCCAGAACCGTTTAGGGCTTTATAGGCTAGATCCAGCACTTTGAATTGTGCCCAGTAGCAGACTGGCAGTCAGTGAAGCTGGCACAACAGAGGAGTTGTATGCTCCCTTAGAGCCACTCCTGTTAGCAATCTGGCTGCCACCCATTGGACCATTTGAAGCTTCCGGACAGTCTTCAAAGGCAACCCCACATAGAGTGCAATCCAGTAGTCTATACAGGATGTAACCAGAGCATGGACTACCGTGTTACTTTTGTGGGGAACAACAAAAGTGTTCCTCCTGATGATGGGAATGTTTTGGTTAGATCTGTTGTTAGAGAAACAGAAAGTGAGAATATTCCAGGGATTGAAAGGAATGTGGAGGAGACAGGAGTTCTGCCTATAACTCAATTATTATGGTTTCAAAGAGATCGTGCAAAGCAGAGACAAATTCGTTATCCCCAGAGGCTCAAATATAAGCAAAGGGAACCCAGGTGTGGGAAAGAATGATGTCATGGATAAGGTTTAGTAACCTGGCTGCCGCCCGTTGGACCATTTGAAGCTTCCGAACAGTCTTCAAAGGCAACCCCACATAGAGTGTGTTGCAGTAGTTTATATGAGATGTAACCTGTAGTCCTTTCTGGGAGTTTGAAGCCATTGTTCCATTGTGTCCTAGTCTCCAGGGCAGCAGAAAGGAAACCTGCTCCCTCCTCCCTATGACTTCCTCTTTCATATTTATACATGGCTATCATGTATCTTCTCAGCCTTCTCTTCTTCAGGCTATACATGTCCAGCTCTTTCAGCCACTTCTCATAGGGCTTGTTCTCCAGACCCTTGATCTTTTCAGTCACCCTCCTCTGGACACATTCCAGCTTAGAGTGAACATTTCCCTTCAATTGTGGTGCCTAGAATTGGACACAATATTCCAGGTGTGGTTTGACCAAGTCAGAATTGAGCATGGGGAGCATGATGTCCCTGGATCTAGACATTATACTCCTATTGATGCAGGCCAAAATCCTGTTGGCTTTTCATAATAGCCAGAGGTCTTTAAATAAAAATCACCAATAAACTAATTTTTAGAGATTGTGTCTGATCATTTCCTGGTTTTAGAAAAGGTATTTGGGCCCAAACGACCCTGAAAAGCCCAATAACATATCAGAAATACCCTACATCAGTGGTTCTCAACCTTCCTAATGCCGCGACCCCTTAGTACAGTTCCTCATATTGTGGTGACCCCCAACCATAACATTATTTCCGTTGCTACTTTATAATAGTAATTTTGCTACTGTTATGAATCATAATGTAAATATCTGATATGCAGGATGTATTTTCAGTCACTGGACCAAATTTGGCACAAATACCCAATACGTCCAAATTTGAATATTGGTGGGGTTGGAGGGGAATGATTTTGTCATTTAGTAATGCTGGAGTTGCTGGGATTTATAGTTCACCTAAAATCAAAGAGCCTTCCGAACTCCACCAATGATGGAATTGAATCAAACTTGGCACACAGAATTCCCATGACCAAGAGAAAATACTGGGAAGGTCTGGTGAACATTGACCTTGGGTTTTTAGAGTTGTAGTTCACCTACATCCAGAGAACACTGTGGACTCAAGCAATGATGGATCTGGATCAAACTTGGCACAAATACTCAATATGCCCAAATGTGAACACTGCTAAAGTTTGGAGAAAATGGAACTTGCAATTTCGGAGTTGCAATTGTTGGGATTTATGGTTGTTGTTGTTCATTCGTTCAGTCATCTCCGACTCTTTGTGACCTCATGGACCAGCCCACGGCAGAGCTCCCTGTCGGCTGTCACCACCCCCAGCTCCTTCAAGGTCAGTCCAGTCACTTCAAGGATGGTTGGGATTTATAGTTCACCCAAAATGTAATAGCATTCTGAACCCCACCAATGATAGAATTGGACCAAACTTTCCACACAGAACCCCCATGACCAACAGAAAATACTATGTTTCCTGATGGTCTTTGGCGACCCCTCTGATACCCCCTATTGACCCCCACAGGGGTCCCAAGCCCCAGGTTGAGAAACACTGCTCTACATGGTCTCTAAAGAGGGGTGTGTAGGGACAAATATTTTTTCCCCATAGCAACAAAAGTCTTTCAATTCTTTCTGCTTCTGCCCAGGTTTTGGACCCATGGCCACCCCAGATCCCATGGCAGTGGCACCAATATGGACTGTGCTTTCATTGACCCCGCGCTCGGGAAGAACAACTGGAACGACACCGACTGCTTTGAACTGAAAAGATGGGTTTGCAAGGAGAGCCTGGATATTGAAGGGCTGTCCCTTCCGCCAAACCTGTTCCTTGGTGGAACGAGAATGTCCTAGGTAGCAAGTGTTCTAGCAAGAAATTAGACATCACAGAGTAAACATGGAATACCTCTATCTCTTACGAGCATTATTCCTTTGTTAAGATGGGTGGATGGGGAATACTCGCTGGATATCGTAGTCTTCTGTGGGCGGGTGGTTGCCCTTTTCACTTAGGATTAAGGCAACCCTATACAGTAAGTAGATAACATGCCCAACTAAGCCTTAACAGCCGCTTTAGTGCTGTAATAGAAGGTTCAGATTCTTTCAATAACTTAGCAAAAAGCCCTTAGTAAACTGTTAGAAGCAACAGTTTTGACATAAGCAAGATGTTGTTTTGGTTAACCTCTGCCTGTGTACCGGCAGAGCCTGGTTCGGTTCCTGACACAAACACTGGGTGCAGATTACTTAACTAACCTCATCTCTGCATATAAACCTACACAGACACTCTGGCCATCGGAGCGGACGCTGCTCTCAGTCCCATTCCCGACTCAAGCGCAGTTGGTGGGAATGAGAGAGGGGGCCTGCTTTCTGACTGCCCCTTCCCTCTGGAACTCCCTCCCCTTGGAAGTAAGAACAGCTTCCTCACTCCTCTCCTTTAAGAAACAATTAAAACCACACTTCTGTACACTGGCCTTCGGAGAGGAGGATGATTAGCTTTTATTCTTATGCTTCTATTCTGCCCAATGAGGCTGGCTGAGAATATATTTGCCCTAACTCATTGCACAGCCACATTGTTATTGTTCATTTCTCATGTTGATTCTGTTCATTTACTCTGTTATTTATGGAACCTATTACCAGTTTTAACACTTAATGTGTTATTTGTGAATTTTAATTGCTTGTTTTAATTGGGTTTTTTTACTGCTGTTTATTTCCATTTTGTTTTTGTCTTTGTAAGCTGCTCTGAGTCCCTTCAGGGAGAGAGACTCCGCTGAGAGAGAACAAACTCTGCTGACATTCACTTTAGCCATGATGAATGAACACCTCTGTTCTTTGCCTTCATCCATTCTGTGTCTTATTCAGTCCTTTGGGGAGTTTGACACACCAGGCATCCAAACCCATGGTTCTTGTGGAACTGAAATCACCCCAAAATACCATGAGTTAACTTGTTGGCCCACACCAACCCTAGGATTAACCCACTTCTTCTTGCCTGCTGCTTTTCACTTCACCAAGCATTGTTATCTTTTCCAATGAGCAATGTCCTTTTATGATATGTCTAAAGTACAATAGACACAGGTTGGCCATCTTGGCAACTAGAAAAAGTTGAGAATTGATTTATTCTCAGGCCTATTGCTTTGGTTACTTGGCAGTCTGAGTAGCTGCCAGAATAGCTGCCAGAAAATGGCATGTATTTTTCTGTGAATTTATGCTTGTACCTTTTGAAGCACCTTTCTTGTATTTGGCCAAATCATAATAACCCGCTGTAGCTTTGTCTTCAACCCAGAGAGCCTGTCCTGGCTGATCGGGTTTAGGGAAGGCTCACCAGGCACAGACCTCTTTATCTGCGGTCCTATCTGAAATCACTATACGTATGATCTTTGGAGACCCCCCACTAGCATGAAAGGTGGAAGCTACTATGATCATTAAAGTTGGAGACCACCATGTTCATAAAAGGTAGAGATCACCATGCTTATAGATGGAGAACTCCGTGCTTATGAAAGGTGGAGACCGCTATGATAATGAAAACTCTCTCTCTCTATCTTACTTCAGCCAATTCTCAGACGCACCAGGCATACACCTCTTTATCTGCAGTCCTAGCTGAAATCGCTATACTTCTGATTGTTGGAGACTCCCATGCTCATGAAATATGGAATTCACTATGAGTTGGAGACCACCATGTTCATGAAAGGTGGAGATCACTATGCTTATGAAAGGTGGAGACCACTATGATAATGAAAACTGGGGACCATCATGCTCTTGAAAGCTGGAGACCATTCTGCTTGTGATAGTTGGAGACCTCTATGCTCATGAAGGTTATGTTGGGAATATTATATCAGTCTATGAACAAGGAAAGTTCTAAGCTTCTCAGTAATCTTGAGGTACCTAGAACAGCAAACGGGCAAACAGCAGAGTTTTTTTTGTTCCAAATCAGGAGGGATTTTATCTTGCAGATTTTAGTAACAAAAATACACACAACTTTGTACAAATGTCATAGTCTCATCTTACTCTCAGACAATTCTCAGATGCAGTCCCACATAGACCTTTCTTTCTTTCAAAGTCCATCAGTGATCAGCAACCAACAACACCAACACACAATATATTGGCTGTTCCACATTTAGGCAAAACCCAGCCAATCACTTACTGTATTGCATTATTGCTTAGACACTACCTCATCATACATTCAAACTCACAGTGTCATCCTGACCTAGCAATCAGCTATCTGGATATGCCGTCACATTTGGCTTCTTGCCAAAATCCTGATAGGCTGGAGGTCACCATGCTCATAAAAATCCAACCTACAACCTGCTGTGGTTGTGCTGTCGTGCACTGGGCCTATAGCAATTGCCTTTTGAACAGGACGTGCTCTTTGTGCCCAGCGGGAAGCCGGGGTGCCTCGGATGAGAGGCCCTATGGGTTTTCCTATACAAAGTCTTTAGAAGCTTAAAAGTTTAACAAAGTTCTTTATTATTGTTTAGGTCTTCAACAAACAATCTCAGATCTTCAACAAATCAAACAAATGCTTCTTTACAATGGACAGGCAACTTGCTTGGATAACTATTTCTCTCCTTTATGAGGAAAACCCTTTTTGACCCTTCCCCGGGGCAATCTGCTTTCTAGGCTTTGCTGGTGTGGGCCCTACTCCCGGCTCCAAATTGCTTCTTGGGTACCAGAGTAGACCTACCAATCAAGACTCTGAAGGATTTCAGCTGGAGTCCTTAGGATTTTTCCCACGAAAGTTGTAGGTCTGTTTCTCCAACCCCAACAAGGGTTGTGCTGTAAAGCTGTTTCTCTTAAAAGCCTTTCTTTAGAGACTGTTCTAAAAGCTGTGAGGCTGTAAATTCCCCAGCCAGAGCTTTTGGGATAGTTTTCCCCCGGACTTTGTAAGAAACGAAGCTTCTCTACAGGCAGAAAACTTTCACGTCCTGTAGCTGAGCTTCCAACTGTAAGACTAAACTAAAATGGTTCCCTTTCCCTCCTGAACCTGGAAAAAAGGGCGGAACTAAAATGTAACGATAGACATGTGGCTAGCCCCATGACTGCAGCCTAGCAGGAACCATCCAACTGCAAAATGCATGGCCAGAACAAGCACATGCAAACGCTCAAAGAACGAAAGGGAGCTTGGAGCTCCTGGTACAGCCATACCAGCACAATGGTTTCTTTTTAACCATAGAATCATAGAACCATAGAATGAAAGAGTTGGAAGAGACCTCATGGGCCATCCAGTCCAACCCCATTCTGCCAAGAAGCAGGAATATTGCATTCAAATCGCCCCTGACAGATGGCCATCCAGCCTCTGTTTAAAAGCTTCTAAAGAAGGAGCCTCCACCGGGGCAGAGAGTTCCACTGCTGAACGGCTCTCACAGTCAGGAAGTTTTTCCTCATGTTCAGATGGAATCTCCTCTCTTGTAGTTTGAAGCCATTGTTCCATGTCCTAGTCTCCAGGGAAGCAGAAAACAAGCTCCCTCCCTCCTCCCTGTGGCTTCCTCTCACATATTTATACATGGCTATCATATCTCCTCTCAGCCTTCTCTTCTTCAGGCTAAACATGCCCAGCTCCTTAAGCCGCTCCTCATAGGGCTTGTTCTCCAGACCCTTTATCATTTTAGTCGCTCTCCTCTGGACACATTCCAGCTTGTCAATATCTCTTGAATTGTGGTGCCCAGAATTGTACACAATATTCCAGGTGTGGTCTAACCAAAGCAGAATAGAGGGGTAGCATTACTTCCTTAGATCTAGACACGATGCTCCTATTGATGCAGGCCAAAATCCCATTGGCTTTTTTTGCCGCCACATCACATTGTTGGCTCATGTTTAACTTGTTGTCCACGAGGACTCCAAGATCTTTTTCACACGTACTGCTCTCCAGCCAGGCTCCCCCATTCTGTATCTTTGCATTTCGTTTTTCCTGCCAAAGTGGAGTATCTTGCATTTGTCACTGTTGAACTTCATTTTGTTAGTTTTGGCCCATCATCTCTCTAATCTGTCAAGATCGTTTTGAATCCTGCTCCTGTCCTCTGGAGTCTTGGCTCTCCCTCCCAATTTGGTGTCGTCTGCAAACTTGATGATCCTGCCTTCTAGCCCTTCATCTAAGTCATTAATAAAGATCCTGACAGGACCGGGCCCAGGACGGAACCCTGCGGCACTCCACTCGTCACTTCTTTCCAGGATGAAGAGGAAGCCTTGGAGAGAATCACCCTCTGGGTTCGTCCATTTAACCAATTACAGATCCACCTCACCGTAGTTTTGCCTAGCCCACATTGGACTAGTTTCCTTGCCAGAAGGTCATGGGGGACCTTGTCAAAGAAGGCCTTACTGAAATCCAGGTACGCTACATCCAGGGCATCTTCAACATACGGTGGCTGTCAGCAGAGCAAGGTAGTCTTCCTTTGTGTGCCTTGGTGTGCCACAGCCAGTGCCTCAGTGCTTCCAACTCCCGGCGCCATCACAATGCATCATCCCTTTCAGCTGCAGGTGTGTCAGTTATTGTGAATACTGACCAGGGTCAACAGGCATCTAGCCAATCAGCAAGCAGCTTGAGTGACTGGATGGGGGGCATATGGGCAATGTTGAGGCAGCAAGGAGCAGGCCAACTGGAGGAAGTCACTCACAGGAGGCTATGGGAGACCCAGAGAAGAAGTAAAGCAGGAGTGAAGTGGAACAGACTCAGAAGAAGACTCAAGGATAGATCTGGCGGGCAGTCTTTGACTTCTGACAAGCAGGTGTTCAGCTAGGCTGTCCCCCTATTGCAGTGAATTAGCCTCCATTGAGTGAATTTCCTGAGGTAGCCACCGAATATTTAACCTCGGTCTCCTTTCTGGAGTTATGGTTTGAGGACTGGAGTAGGACACTTGGAGACTAGCATTTGAATCCCTCTTCCAACATGGAAACGCGTTGAATAACCTTTGGCAAGTCGCACTCTCTCCCTGAATAAATCTTGGGTAGGGTCTCTGAGCCTTAGGTCCACCTTACCAATGGTCCCATTTTGGGAGCATCAATTCTTTTCTTCTCACCTCCCAAGAACACTTGGAAACACATCAAAAAGATATTACGATTGGCTCCTTTCCAACCTGATGTGATTTAAAGGCATTTCTGTTTTCTTATATGAATTGTTCTGCGGTGCCATGGAAACCCATCTTGAGCAAATCACACACTCTTGGTCTCAGAAAACCCTGTGATAAGGTTGTGAAGGCACACAACAACAATCCTTGTTTTAGGTCTAGATGTCCTTCCTGAAGGCATCAGAGCCTGTCTGATCCTGGAAGCTAAATAGGTCACCATACCAGAGATGCAATGTTTCAGAGGAAGGTCCTGGCAAACCACTTCTGAGTAATGTATTGGGTCCTGGCAAACCACTTCTGAGTCATGTATTGTCGAAGGCTTTCATGGCTGGAATCACTGGGTTGTTGTAGGTTTTTTCGGGCTATATGGCCATGGTCAAGAGGCATTCTCTCCTGACGTTTCGCCTGCATCTATGGCACACATCTTCAGAGGTAGTGAGGTCTTCTGCAACAAAGAAAATGGGTTTATATATCTGTGGAATGACCAGGGTGGGACACAGGACTCTTGTCTGCTGGAGCTAGGTGTGAATGTTTCAACTGACCACCTTGATTAGCATAATCTCATTTTACTCCATAATCTCATTTTATTGAGAGGTGATTATATGTCCTTGTTTGTTTTTCCTCTCTGTTGTTGTGCTGTTGTAATTTTAGAGTTTTTTAATACTGGTAGCCAGATTTTGTTCATTTCATGGTTTCCTCCTTTCTGTTGAAATTGTCCTTTGTGGATTTCAATGGCTTCTCTGTGTAGTCTGACATGGTGGTTGTGATAGTTGTCATCTGTGCATAATAATATTCTTAAAAAAGGCAAAGGTTCAACAGAAAGGAGGAAACCATGAAAATGAACAAAATCTGGCTACCAGTATTAAAAAACCTCTAAAATTACAACAGCAAAACAACAGGAAACAATCAGGGACAGCTAATCACTCAACTCTTTGTCATGCAAGTCAGATGTTCTCACCTCATAGAATCAGAATCAAAGAGTTGGAAGAGACCTCATGGGCCATCCAGTCCAACCCCCTGCCAAGAAGCAGGAATATTGCATTCAAATCACCCCTGACAGATGGCCATCCAGCCTCTGTTTAAAAGCTTCCAAAGAAGGAGCCTCCACCACACTCCGGGGCAGAGAGTTCCACTGCTAAACGGCTCTCACAGTCAGGAAGTTCTTCCTCATGTTCAGATGGAATCTCCTCTCTTGTAGTTTGAAGCCATTGTTCCATTGCGTCCTAGTCTCCAGGGAAGCAGAAAACAAGCTTGCTCTCTCCTCCTCCCTGTGGCTTCCTCTCACATATTTATACATGGCTATCATATCTCCTCTCAGCCTTCTCTTCTTCAGGCTAAACATGTCCAGCTCCTTAAGCCGATCCTCATAGGGCTTGTTCAGACCCTTGATCATTTTAGTTGCTCTCCTCTGGACACATTCCAGCTTGTCAATATCTCTCTTGAATTGTGGTGCCCAGAATTGGACACAATATTCCAGGTGTGGTCTAAGGTGTGGTCAGGCCATTATATGCTAATCAAGGAGGTCAGTTGAAACATTCACACCTAGCTCCAGCAGACAAGAATCCTTTGTCCCACCCTGGTCATTCCACAGATATATAAACTCTTTTTCCTAGTTCCAACAGACCTCACTACCTCTGAGGATGCTTGCCATAGATGCAGGCGAAATGTCAGGAGAGAATGCCTCTAGAACATGGCCATATAGCCCGTAAAAACCTACAACAACCCACTTCTGAGTATTCCAGGTCTTTAAAAAAACCTGTGAAATTCATGATGTTGCCCATAAATTGACAGCCAACTTGAAGGCATGTGCATGCAGACAGGAGCACTCTTTCCTGTTTTGATTCTGCAAAATGAGACATAAGCCCTTCAGTGTAGAAAAAGGAGGAATCGCTGGTGGCTTATAAACCACGGAATGCTTCCTATCTTCCTTTCTATCTACATTTTTGGGTTCTGTGTATCGTGGCAAAAATCCCTGAAGCGACCAAATATGGAACTGGGCTTTGCTTCTGCGAACTTCATGGTCTTTTCTTCTTTTCTCTCCTTCCAGCCATGCCTCCTAAGCCTAGTACCTCTCCTTCCAAGGTCAAGATTTCTCCTTCCGCTACCAAAGCTCGGCCGCCTTCTTCCCCCGCCAAACCATCATGGAAAGCGAGATGGAAACGCTGTAAAGCCTGGAATCCTTGTAGGCATGTCTCCCCGAGCGTCAAGTGGGCTCTTCTTGTGACTTTTGCATTCTTCTCTCTTGTCATCTTGGTTCTGATGACCTACCTCTGTAAGTTTTCATTGGTTCCACGAATGCACACCTGGGGAGGGGAGCGATTGATTCAAATCATGGCCCGGCCTTTAAATTTTTTTAATTGCCTTGTGGCGCAGTGGGTTAAAGCACTGAGCTGCTGAGCTTGTTGATCGAAAGGTCGCAGGTTCAATTCCAGGGAGCGGCGTGAGCTTCCGCTGTCAGCCCTAGCTTCTGCCAACCTAGCAGTTCGAAAACATGCAAATGTGAGTAGATCAATAGGTACCGCTCCAGCGGGAAGGTAACGGCGCTCCATGCAGTCATGCCGGCCACATGACCTCGGAGGTGTCTACGGACAATGCTGGCTCTTCGGATTAGAAATGGAGATGAGCACCACACCCCAGAGTCACACATGACTGGACTTATTGTCAGGGGAATACCTTTACCTTTACCTTTAGGCAGGATTACTTTCAATGTATGTGTGTTATGGCAACAATTTTTATGCTTATATTGTTTTGTTAATCTTATGGTTATGTTGTTTTTACTTTGTATGTTTTGTGATGTTACCTGGGAACAGCTCTGAGTCCCCTCGGGGAGATAGAGCGGTATATAAATAAAGTTTTATTATTATTATTATTATTATTATTATTATTATTATTATTATTATTTAAATAGGGGCAGAAGCAGAAGCCTGGAAGAGGTGGCCAGGCTCCTGCTCCTGCCGTCACTGCTGCCCTTGCCGCCCTCACTCGCTCACTCACCTGCCCTCCCTCGCTTGCTCACTCACCGGGCCAGGTCCCGGCAGCAAAACCAGGACTTGGCTCGGTGAGTAGCAAGCGAGGAGTAGGTGAGCAAGCAAGCAAGCAAGCAAGAAGGGTAGCAAAGGTGGCAGCAGCTGCAGAAGCAGGACAACAAGTTAAACATGAGCCAACAATGTGATGTGGCGGCAAAAAAAGCCAATGGGATTTTGGCCTGCATCAATAGGAGCATAGTGTCTAGATCTAGGGAAGTCATGCTCCCCATGCTCTATTCCGCTTTGGTTAGACCACACCTGGAATAGTGTGTCCAATTCTGGGCACCACAATTCAAGAGAGATATTGACAAGCTGGAATGTGTCCAGAGGAGGGCGACTAAAATGATCAAGGGTCTGGAGAACAAGCCCTATGAGGAGCGGCTTAAGGAGCTGGGCATGTTTAGCCTGAAGAAGAGAAGGCTGAGAGGAGACATGATGATGATAGCCGTATATAAATATGTGAGAGGGAGCCACAGGGAGGAGGAGGAGGGAGCAAGCTTCCTTTCTGCTTCCCTGGAGACTAGGGCCTGGAGAACAAGCCCTATGAGGAGTGGCTTAAAGAGCTGTGCATGTTTAGCCTGCAGAAGGCTGAGAGAAGACATGATAGCCATGTATAAATATGTGAGAGGAAGCGATAGGGAGGAGGGAACAAGCTTGTTTTCTGCGCTGACAAGCTGGAATGTGTCCAGAGGAGGGTGACTAAAATGATCAAGGGTCTGGAGAACAAGCCCTATGAGGAGTGGCTTAAGGAGCTGGGCATGTTTAGCCTGAAGAAGAGAAGGCTGAGAGGAGATATGATAGCCATGTATAAATATGTGAGAGGAAGCCACAGGGAGGAGGAGGAGGGAGCAAGCTTGTTTTCTGCTTCCCTGGAGACTAGGACGCAATGGAACAATGGCTTCAAACTACAAGAGAGGAGATTCCATCTGAACATGAGGAAGAACTTCCTGACTGTGAGAGCCGTTCAGCAGTGGAACTCTCTGCCCCGGAGTGTGGAGGCTCCTTCTTTGGAAGCTTTTAAACAGAGGCTGGATGGCCATCTGTCAGGGGTGATTTGAATGCAACATTCCTGCTTCTTGGCAGAATGGGGTTGGACTGGATGATGGCCCAGGAGGTCTCTTCCAACTCTTTGATTCTATTTTTCTATGATTCTATGATTCTATGGTTCTGCCGCCGCTGTCGCCTTTGCTTGCTCGCTCACTCATCAGGACGGATAGCAGCAGCAGAACCAGGACTCGGCTCGGTGAGTGAGTGAGCGAGTGATGGAGGAAAGGACAAGGGAGCGAGTGAGGGAGGGCGGGGAGGGTGGCAGCGGCGGTGGCAGATAATACAGAGTGTCTGATAAGCAGAAGTCAGATAAGTGGGGCTGTACTATATATAGCGTCTCTACTTTGCGAATGTTCACTTTTTGCAGGTGGTCCTGGAACGTAACACCTGTGATAAGTGAGGGAATGCTGTATTGTCAATGGGCTGTTGTAGGTTTTTTTTTGGGCTATATGGCCATGTTCTAGAAGCATTCTCTCCTGTCGTTTCTCCTGCATCTATGGTAGGCATCCTCAGAGGTAGTGAGGTCTGTTGGAACTAGGAAAAATGAGTTTATATATCTGTGGAATGACCAGGGTGGGGCAAAGGACTCTTGTCTGCTGGAGCTAGGTGTGAATGTTTCAACTGACCGCCTTGATTAGCATTTGATAACCTGGAAGTGCCTGGAACAATCTTTTGTTAAGGGGTGATTAGATGTCCCTGATTGTTTTCCCTCTGCTGTTTTGCTGTTTTAATTAGAGTTTTTAAAATACTGGTAGCCAGATATTGTTCACTTTCATGGTTTCCTCCTTTCTGTTGAAATTGTCCACATGTTTGTGGATTTCAGTGGCTTCTCTGTGTAGTCTGACATGGTGGTTGTGAGAGTGGTCCAGCATTTCTGTGTTCTCAAATAATATGCTGTGTCCAGGTTGGTTCATCAGGTGCTCTGCCATGGCTGACTTCTCTGGTTGAAGGAGTCTGCAGTGCCTTTCATGTTCCTTGATTCGTGTTTGGGCAATGCTGCTGCGTTTGGTGGTCCCTATGTAGACTTGTCCACAGCTGCATGGTATCCGGTAGACTCCTGCAGAAGTGAGAGGATCCCTCTTGACCTTTGCTGAAAGGACCATTTGTTGGATTTTGTTGGTGGGTCTTTAGATAGTTTGTATGTTGTGTTTCCTCTGTGGTCAGTGGTTCCCTTGATGTCTGGCAAGAACACGTTTCCTCTGGGTGGACCTTTGTCTTGACTCTCGTGGCTTCTTCTCGGTTGTCTTGCAGCTCTTCTGATGTCTGAGGTGGAGTCTCCATTGGCCTGGAGAGCCCAGTTGAGGTGGTCCAGTTCATCTTGAAGGAGGTGGACTTTGGAGATTCTTTTTGACCAGTCTGCCAAGGCTTTAATGGGGCTTCTTTGTTGACTTGGGTGATGGTTGGAGTTCTTATGTAGAAATCTATCTTTGTGTGTGTGGGTTTTCTGTAAACGGTGTGACCCAATTGTTGATCTGGTTTGCGGATGTCTAGGACATCTAGAAAAGGCAGTCTTCCTTCATTTTCTTTTTCCATGGTGAATTGGATGTTTGGGTGGATGCTGTTCAGATGTTCCAGGAACCTGTTGAGTTCTTCTTCTCCATGGCTCCAAATGGTGAAGGTGTCACCCACATATCTGAACCATAGAGTGGGCTTTTTTGTTGCTGTTTCCAAGGCTTGTTTTTCAAAGTGTTCCATGTAGAAATTAGCTGTGATCAGGCTGAGGGGGCTCCCCAGAGCTACTCCATCTTTCTGTTCGTAGAATTCATTGTCCCACTGAAAGTAGCTGGTGGTGAGGCAATGGTGAAACAGAGCTGTGAAACGTCAGGAGAGAATGCCTCTAGAACATGGCCATATAGCCCAAAAAAACCTTACAACAACCCAGTGATTCTGGCCATGAAAGCCTTCAACAATACCTTTGTCAATGGCTTCTTTCTTGTCTCTAACCCGTATTAGTCATTGTCTAATATTAACGAGGCTTCATATATCAACCAATTTCCAAATGGCTATATGGCAGTGTAGATGGGGCCTTAGGTTGGATCTGATCCCAGATTATCTGCTTATCCCAGATGGTCTGGCAGTGTAGACTCACACTGAAAGGGTGTCAGAAAGATCATACTGACATTTTCACCTGCGTGATGTTGTTTGAGACAGTAGAGAGCGCCATGTGATCAGGAAACGAATGGTTTGTTCAATGTATTGTCGAAGGCTTTCATGGCCGGCATCACTGGGTTATTGTAGGTTTTTCCGGGCTATATGGCCATGTTCTGGAGGCAATTTTTCTCCTGACGTTTTGCCTGCATCTATGGCAAGCATCCTCAGAGGTAGTGAGGTCGTGTGACCTCACTACCTCTGAGGATGCTTGCCATAGATGCAGGCGAAATGTCAGGAGAAAAATTGCCTCCAGAACATGGCCATATAGCCCGGAAAAACCTACAACAATCAAATGGTATGTTCCATTTTGCTACTTTACGCAGTTGTAAATGAAGTCAAAAGTTAAATGTTCTGTATGTGTCATCCGCATTATTTTTCTGTACCAATAAGTTACATAGTTCCTTGGAATGCTTTGAATGTATGTCAACAGTATTAATATTTTGTGTGAATGGACCATGGCGTCTTTGGGAATTTGAGTTGGAGTGATTCCACCCAGAGGCCTCACTGGTCGAAATAAATCTGCATTTTTCTTTTCCCATTTCAAGTAAGGCTTGGCGTGTTTCCTAAAAACCTACCATCACAACATAATCCAGCTCAAAGCATATAATCATAGAATCATAGAATCAAAGAGTTGCAAGAGACCTCCTGGGCCATCCAGTCCAACCCCATTCTGCCAAGAAGGGAATGTTGCATTCAAATNACCCTGACAGATGGCCATCCAGCCTCTGTTTAAAAGCTTCCAAAGAAGGAGCCTCCCCCACACTCCGGGGCAGAGAGTTCCACTGCTGAACAGCTCTCACAGTCAGGAAGTTCCATAGAATCAAAGAGTTGGAAGAGACCTCATGGGCCATCCAGTCCAACCCCCTTCTGCCAAGAAGCAGGAATATTGCATTCAAATCACCCCTGACAGATGGCCATCCAGCCTCTGTTTAAAAGCTTCCCAAGAAGGAGCCTCCACCACACTCCGGGGCAGAGAGTTCCACTGCTGAACGGCTCTCACAGTCAGGAAGTTCTTCCTAGAATCCTAGAGTTGGGAGAGACCTCCTGGGCCATCATCCAGTCCAACCCCATTCTGCCAAGAAGCAGGAATATTGCATTCAAATCACCCCTGACAGATGGCCATCCAGCCTCTGTTTAAAAGCTTCCAAAGAAGGAGCCTCCACCACACTCTGGGGCAGAGAGTTCCACTGCTGAATGGCTCTCACAGTCAGGAAGTTCTTCCTCATGTTCAGATGGAATCTCCTCTCTTGTAGTTTGAAGCCATTGTTCCATTGCGTCCTAGTCTCCAGGGAAGCAGTAAACAAGCTTGCTCCCTCCTCCTCCCTGTGGCTTCCTCTCACATATTTATACATGGCTATCATATCTCCTCTCAGCCTTCTCTTCTTCAGGCTAAACATGCCCAGCTCCTTAAGCCGCTCCTCATAGGGCTTGTTCTCCAGACCCTTGATCATTTTAGTCGCCCTCCTCTGGACACATTCCAGCTTGTCAATATCTCTCTTGAATTGTGGTGCCCATAATTGGACACAATATTCCAGGTGTGGTCTAACCAAAGCAGAATAGAGCAGGGGAGCATGACTTCCCTAGATCTAGACACTATGCTCCTATTGATGCAGGCCAAAATCCCATTGGCTTTTTTTGCCGCCACATCACATTGTTGGCTCATGTTTAACTTGTTGTCCACGAGGACTCCAAGATCTTTTTCACACGTACTGCTCTCAAGCCAGGCATCCCCCATTCTGTATCTCTGCATTTCGTTTTTCCTGCCAAAGTGGAGTATCGTGCAGCTAATCTGGGATCAGATCCTGGGATACAGGGCAGTGTTGATCCAGCCTCAGTTGTGGAGGTAGCTTAGGGCCCTTCCACGCAGCCCTATATCCCAGAATATCAAGGCAGAAAATCCCATAATAGCTGCTTTGATCTGGGTTATTTGAGTCCACACTACCTTTTATTCCAGTTCAAAGCAGACAATGTGGGATTTTATTCAGCTGTGTGGAAAGGGGTCTTAGCTGAGTTTTCTGCATCTGTCCTTCCTTGATACCTCTAGATGTTTCATTGGCTGAAGAAAAGACCCACCCTCTGGATGAACCCATGAAGAAGCTGAGGCACACAATGGCTACGGGACTCCGAAGCCCAAAGCTCAATTACGAAAATCGTAAGTAGAAGGGGGAAGAATGGTTTGGTGACATGCAGAGACACACGCATACATACATGCATGCATGCATGCATGCATACATACATATATACACATAGTAAGCATGTGCAATCCATGGTTCTAAATGGTTCTAAAGTACTTACAAAACTAAAGTTCTGGTTGTGAAAACTAGGGGGCGCTGGTGCTTTGCTTCTGCAGTGTTTCTAAAGTTCTGGTGGTGAAAATTTCAGAACTCTAGCAAAACTTTCAAAATTTCATTATTATTTCATTATTGGTGATTTTTATGACAGAATTTATTTATTTATTTTATTTATTTAAAAATTTTCTATACCGATCTTCTCACCTACAAGAGGGACTCAGATCTGGTTCACAACATGTGTTCATATACAAAAATACAAACCACACAATGCATCATCATTACACAGTTAAAAACATTACAGTACAACATCGTCATCATCACAATCACATAGCCACGTCGTCAAAGCATTCCTGGTCATAATTCAGTTATTCGTTCTCCTTCCATATGGACCAAGGTTGACTCAGTTGTCAAAGGCCGCATTCCATAGCCAAGTCTTTATTAGCTTCCTGAACATCAGGAGGGAGGGGGCAGTTCTAATCTCCTGTGGGAGGGAGTTCCAAAGCCGGAGAGCCACCATTGAGAAGGCCCTGTCTCTCGTCCCCACCAACCGCGATTGTGACAGTGGTGGGATCGACCCCCCCCCCCCAGAAGATTTAAAGACCTCGATGGTTCATAGGGGAGAATCTGTTCGGACAGGTAAACAGGGCCAGAGTCGTTTAGGGCACTTTGAATTGTTCTTGGAAGCTAATTGGCAGCCAGTGGAGCTGGCGTAATAGAGGGGTTGTGTGCTCCCTGTACCCAGCCCCCGTTAAAAATCTGGCTTCCGAGCATTGAACTAGCTGCAGCTTCCGGGCAGTCTTCAGAGGCAATCCCACGTAGAGAGCGTTGCAGTAATCTAGACAGGATGTAACCAAAGCGTGGACCACCGTGGCCAAGTCAGACTTCCCAAGGTACGGGCACAGCTGGCGCACAAGTTTTAATTGTGCAAAAGCTCCCCTGGCCACCACTGAAACCTGGGGCTCCAGGCTCAGCGATGAATCCAGGAGAACCCCCAGACTGCGAACCTGCGTCTTCAGGGGGAGTATAACCCCGTCCAGCACAGGCTGTAACCCTATGCCCTGTTCGGCCTTTCGACTGACCAGGAGTACCTCTGTCTTGTCTGGATTTAGTTTCAATCTGTTGTCCCTCATCCAGTCCGTCACAGCAGCCAAGCACCGGTTCAGGACTTGGACAGCCTCCTTAGTAGCAGGTGGAAAGGAGTGACAGAGTTGGACATCATCTGCGTACAGATGACACCGCACCCCGAAACTCCGGATGATCTCTCCCAATGGCTTCATGTATATGTTAAACAACATAGGGGACAGTACTGAACCCTGCGGGACTCCGCAGTACAATGGCTGAGGAGTCGAGCAGGAGTCCCCTAGTGACACCTTCTGGGAGCGGCCCTCGAGGAAGGACCGGAGCCACTGCAAAGCAGTACCCCCAAGGCCCATTCCCACGAAGCGTCCCAAAAGGATACCGTGATCGACGGTATCGAAGGCCGAAGAGAGGTCCAGCAGAACCAACTGGGACACACTCCCCCTGTCCAGTTCCCGGCGAAGATCATCCACTAAGGCGACCAAGGCTGTCTCAGTACCATGTCCCGGCCTAAAACCAGACTGCACCGGATCTAGATAGTCCGTGTCAACCAGGAATTCCTGGAGTTGTGAGGCCACCACACGTTCCAGGACTTTGCCCAAATAGGGGAGATTGGAAACTGGCCGAAAGTTGACGAATTGAGTGGGGTCCAGTGATGGCTTTTTCAACAGCGGTTTTATAACAGCTTGCTTTAAGCTGGCTGGAATATTGCCTTCCCGAAGGGAGGCATTAACCACCACCTTCACCCACTCAGCCAATCCCCCTCTGGCTTCCTTGACCAGCCAGGATGGGCAGGGGTCTAGGATGCATGTGGTAGGCCTCGCCTCTCCAAGAACCCTGACGACCTCGTCGAGTTGAACAGATCGAAACGAATCCATCAAAACTGGACAAGCAGATGCTTGTGTTACATCCTCAGAGACTGCCTATTAGGAATTGCCATTTATAATGTTGACCCTCAGGAAGTTCTTCCTAATGTTTACATGGAATCTCTTTTCCTGCAATTTGAATCCATGACTCCATTGGATCCTAGATTCTAGAGCAGCAAAAAACAAGCTTGACCCCTCCTCCTCCTCCTCAATGGGGCACCCTTTCCAATATTTAAACATAGCTCATGTCCTCTTATCTCAAGCTTCCTTTCTCCAGTCTCCCTAAGGCACTCCTCATACAATTTGGTTTGCAATGCTTTGGTCATTTTGGTTGCCCTACTCTGGACACCTGCCAGGTTGCCCCATACCCTTCTTGGCTTGTGGTGCCCAGAACTGGACACAGGGCTATTTTTCCAGGTGAGATCTGGCCAAAATAGAAGAGACTATGGAACCTGCATATTTGCAATGAGATCTCTGGAGATGCACCCTCAGAAAATCTGTTTCCGGAGAGTCAATATAGCCTAGTGGTTTGAGCATCAGAGTATGACTCTAGGGAACAAGGCTTGGACATGTAAACAGTATGGGCTACCTTGGGAGGCCCCTTCTACACAGCTGTATAAAATCCAGATTATCTGCTTTGAACTGGATTAACTGGCAGTGTAGATTGCGGACCCTTCCACACAGTCATATAACCCAGAATATCAAGGAAGATAATCCACAATATCTGCTTTGGAATATCTGAGTCCATACTGACATATAATCCAGCTAGATTTTATACAACTGCGTGGAAGGAGCCTCTGATAATCCAGTTCAAAGTAGATAATGTGCATTATCTGCTGGGTTGCTATACGTTTTTCGGGCTGTCTGGCCATGTTCCAGAAGCATTCTCTCCTGACGTTTCGGCTGCATCTATGGCAGGAATCCTCAGAGGTTGTGAGGTCTGTATGGCTTCTGGAACATGGCCATACGGCCTGAAAAACATACAGCAACCCAGGGGTTCTGGCTAGGAAAGCCTTTGACAATGCATTTATTTATTTATCGTGTCAGTTGTATTGCATTAAAACAAACAAACAAAACACAAAGTTTGCAACTTGGCATTCTATTAAATGTCCTTTGACCAGTATCTGGCCACTTGGAGTGCTTCTGGTGTTGCTGCAAGAAGGTCCTCCATGGTGCATGTGGCAGGGCTCAGGTTGCATCGCAGCAGGTGGTCTGTAGTTTGCTCTTCTCCACACTCGCATGTCATAGATTCCACTTTGTGGCCCCATTTCTAGAGGTTGGCTCTGCATCTCGTGGTGACAGAGCGCAGTCTGTTCAGCGCCTTCCAAGTCGCCCAGTCCTCTGTGTGCCCAGGGGGAGTCTCTCATCTGGTATCAACCATTGGTTGAGGTTCTGGGTTTGAGCCTGCCACTTTTGGACTCTTGCTTGCTGAGGTGTTCCTGCAAGTGTCTCTGTAGATCTTGGAAAACTATTGATTTAAAGCACTGACGTGCTGGCTGATATCCAAACAGGGGGAGGGCCGGAGATGTCACTGCCTTTGTCATGAATGGCTTATCAATAATGTTGAAGCATAGGTTCTTTTTATTGCAATTTCCAGTGTGAGAGGGTATATCAGATTACAGAAAAACATTTAGATAAAGAAGGACATTGGACATACAAACATACAGATTCTATGCAACTACATTGGATTTACAATTACATTGGTTTACAAACAAACAAAGGGGAGTTACATTTTCACTCAACATTCACATACATGTACAAGCATTCATCCACATGCATCCACATATTACCATATCCTTTTCTCCCTCTTTGGAGAAACACCTGTTAGGCCAGACCATGATTTCCTGCAGCCTGCCAAGGCATAGTTCCAAAACTTCCAAAATGCCAAAACTTCAAATTGCCAAAATGCCAAAACTTCTTTCCCTAAGAACAATGCCAGGGACCAGATCTCTGTTTTCCATACAGCAGAATATGACTCCCTGCACAAAACCTAAGACTCCAAAAGCGCACTTCTTCCTCTTCCCTTGAGAAAGAAGCCCCAAAGTGACCAGACTGCTTCCGTGCAAATCTGCCACTATCCATATGTACACTCCATGGAGTGGAGCATAGCGGGTGAACCAGACTCCTCAGGTCGGTCACAATTTGAGCATTATTAGACTGAGTCTTTTATAGGAATATTCTGTTGATATAGTCCCAAAGTTGTAAATTAATGATAGACATCTTCCATCCTGGATCCATCTCAGTTTTGTGGCCAGATGTTGATCTTCTTGATTGGTGTTGACAAACACAAGGCTTGTGTTGACTTCCTTCTTAACATAAGGAAGGTTTTCTTAACTTGAAAGAACCATTGTCACAGTTCTTATCAATTCTCATGAGCAGGTTTTGATCACAGTTCCAGCAAGCAGGTAGTTAGTCATTGCAGGCCTTAATATTATACTGGTGTTTCCAAAATTATTAGCTCCATTCATACATTCATCTTCCATTCTTCCATTCATTCCCACACGTAATTATTAAATTCATATTTGTCAAATCTGCACATTGAATTTCTTGTGACACCTTGATCCTTTCATTACGGGCTGCTACTCCCCGGCAGATGTCAGGTGGTGCAATACCGGCTAAAGTGTAATTTCTCCAGTGGTGTAGGGCGCAGACACGCCGTGATAATGTGTCATGTCTCATTCAGAGCCACATCCACTGTTTTAGTGTGGTGAGTGTGCCGTCGCACCTGGGGGCTATAGCTCTTAGTGAAAGAGGCATGGACGTGACATCTTTCCCCAGGGGATTGCTTCTTGCCCTCCTTTAGGAAACTGGAACCCTCATAGACCCAAACACTGCAGGTAACTCAAAATAAGTTTTATTGTTCACAAAGAGTTATCTCTTTAAGGCAGTAAGCTGGAAGTTTCAAAGGGGTGAAGGAAAATGTAATTACAGTCTCTGGTTGTCTTGTGTCCAAGAAGTTTTGAAGCTGAGAAGCTTTTCCAGGTCCCTCTTTTTCAATGGCTGTAAATGCCGGAGCAATCCACAACCCCAGTCCAGATGGCCTATGTTTGAAGACACAGGGTCTTCCTCTGGTGCCAATGGAACTGGTCTGAAGGCGCTTGAGACTTCCCAATGTCGTTCAGGTTGGTCTGAACATGAAGCATAAGTCTCAAGGCTAAGAACCTCAGAATTGGTGCTGAGAGGTAACTTAATCAGGGGCTTTTAGAGCCAAAAGTCTCTTACTCACATCCATCTGGTAGAAAATCTGAAGGTGGAATGAAAAAGGGAAGCACTCCCCTCCTCCAGGAAGAGGTGGAGCCAAACAATTGAGCTGAAAAAGCAATAACCAATCAATTCAACTATACATAAGCAGGATAAAAAGGCAGGATTAAGCATGATACAACAGTTTAAATCTTCCAACTAATAGTTTTACACATAAGTGGTGCCACTCGCGCCGTCACAGTGAGATGTGTTCCACCCTGGGCATGCGTACTCAGCAGCAGAAGCAGCAAAGCACAAGGGCAGATGTCTTCTCTGTATCTGGTTGTGATCCCCAGGTTGGACACTGCATTATCTGCCTTGATATTCTGGATTAGATGGCCTGGAGTCTCTTCAGCAACCTCTCCTTTCCAAGAAAGGACAGAGCTTGGGAGAGGATGCAGATCTTCCCAACCGTTCTAGTTTTCTGTTCTTGGTTTGTTCATTTCAACTTGTGCTTTGTTTTTGGGAGATAAGGAGGCTGAATGTCAATGGTATTTCAAGCATAGAAATGCACAGGGAAAGCGAGGAGGAGGAAACCCTTCATCTGACACCAGTCATGTTTTTAGCCTCGAAGGTAGCAGACGAAGTACTGAAATTGCCTCAGCACATAGAAGAAGCAGAACACCTCTACAACCAACGGAAAGCCAAGTACCGTAAGTCTTTTAAGTACTTACTGTAAATATTAGTCTTGGATTTATGAATGCTAAGGAGTTCTATTTGTGGCTAGAGTGACAAATCTATTCCAGATTTTAGCCTGACTTTTAACAGAACGATAGACGGTTCTGTTGAGAAAGAAAGGACTTTGGGCAATTTTCTGCAGCTTAGCGGTTTAGCCCAACGGTGTGGTAAGTTCGGCCCTTAAAAGGAATAATAAAGATGAGGGATTTTATAAATTCAGATGGAATACTTACTTACTTAGGCGATCCCTTGTAGTCCAAGGATGATGGTCCTCCAAGTGTAGTATCCCGGGGGTGGGTCTGTAGGTGACTGTGGAGCCCTCTTCTTGATCTGCATCTTCTCCCATAGTGAGGGCATTGGTTTCCAGGTGGAAGGCAGTCCCGGTCAGGGTTGGCTTGATGCGCCTTCCTCTTGGCATGTTTCTCTCTTTCATCCCTCTTCAAATTCTACAGCACTGGTGGTCACAGCTGACCTCCAGCTGGAGTGCTCAAGGGCCAGGGCTTCCCAGCGTGCTGGAAGAAGCAAAGACCACCAGCATTGAAGCAATGGTCCTCTGCCATCAACTCCGCTGGACCAGCCACGTTGTCCGAATGCCCGACCACCATGTCCCAAAGCAGTTGCTCTATTCCGAACTCGGAATGTTGGTCGACAGGAAAAGAGATTTAAAGATGGGCTCAAAGCCAACCTTAAAAACTCTGGCATAGACACTTAGAACTGGGAAGCCCTGGCCCTTGAGCATTCCAGCTGGAGGTCCGCTGTGACCAGAAGTGCTGCAGAATTTGAGGAGGCACGAATGGAGGGCAAAAGAGAGAAACATGCCAAGAGGAAGGTGTGTCAAGCCAACCCCAACCGGGACCACCTTCCACCTGGAAAGCGATGCCCTCACTGTGGGAGAAGATGCAGGTCAAGAAGGGCTCCACAGTCACCTACGGACCCACCGGCAGGATACTACACTTAGAGGACTGTCATCCTCGAACTACGAGGGATTGCCTAATATATGAATATATCCTGAGTGACTCATTACTTGGTACTTGGATGTGAAGTCAGCTGGATGGATGTGAACATGGACGTGAAGTCAGCTTTTCCCAACCTGGACCCAACATAGTATCTTCTACATTACCTTCTTTTTTCAGAATCCCTCTTTAAAAAAGGCTTGAGGTCTTCAGGGGGCTGGCAACTTTTTGGGAAAAATCTCTACTATATTTCGAAGGGACAAAAGAACTGGTACGATGCCGAGAACTTCTGCATGTCCAGAGATGCCCACTTGGCCTCCATCCTCAGTGAAGAAGAGCAGGTGTGGTATCTGGCTTTCTTTCCCTTCTGGTTCTGAAAGAAACTGCTCTATCTTCCTGTCCAATCTCAGCTCTCTCTACCTCCCCAAAGTCTTTCAAGTGTTACTGTGATCACTTCCTAGGGTGAGTCTACACTGTCTGCTAAATCTTCAGCATGTCCCTCCTGTGCCGCACACCCAGACCCTATAAAGATAAAACTAAGATGTGCTTCTCTCTTTGTCTGGGCGGACCGCAGGGGTCTTTCTTTAGAAGCTTGAGATTCCCAGCAACTGAGGCTACTACAGGCTTTGAACATCAAAACAGAATATTTATTTCTCCAAGTCCTTGCAGACTTGGCACAGCTTGTTAAAGTTACAAACAAAGCAGTCAATTGGTAAAACAATAGAGATGATCTTTCTTTCTTTTTCATCAGTTACCTAGGTAACTTTTCTCCAAAAGGCAGAAGAAGATCCTGGGATCTTTTCACCCTAACCCTGAGCTGCTGTGGTTAGAAAAAAACAGGTTTTTTCCCTATCTATAGCTCACGATTAGCTTTGGAGATGAAGTAATGCTCAATAATACTCAATGACTCAATATCTATCTATAACTCAATTGCTCAATTACTCAATTGATATTCTATCTATCATCTATCTATCTATCTATCTATCTATCTATCTATCTATCTATCTATCATCTATCTATCTATCTATCTATCTATCTCAATTAGTTCTTTATCTATATAACTCAAAACCTATTTTATCTATCTATCTATCATCTATCTATCTATCTATCTATCTATCTATCTATCTATCTATCTCTATAGTACTCAATATCTATAGTATCTCAATCTTCCTACCTAGTTCTCAACCAGTATCTATGTCTTAATCCCAATAGTTCTTATAATGGTTTTTTCAGAGTTACCTGCCTGACCAACAGCACATCTGAAGCTTTCTTTCCCTACTGAAGGAGGCAGGGGAGATTTCAAAATGGATATCTCAACCCCTGGAAAAAGGGCAGCCCCTTGACCCAAAGAGATACTTTCTGAACCAATAGCTGGAAAAGGGGCCTGCAGGCTGGCTTTCTAGCCTCTAATGCAGTTAACTTTCAGAGTGCAACTGAGATTGTAGCAACCCTGGGGAAATGCAAAGAAACACTATCCCATGCAACTAAAAAGTAATGCAAATTATGCTCCTGGAGGACGGAACACCTCCCATCCTGAATTGAGCTGCAAGGCCAGGATCTTTGGTGGTCTCCCCTACCTACCATTAATATTAAGGTCAACATGATGCTCTGCTTCACATGTGTCAAACACAAGGCCTGTGGGCCGAATGTGGCCTTCCATGTCCTTTTATGTGGCCCTCTGATGGGGAGATATTGGAAAAATAGATATTTATTTATGCATATATTATTTGTACTTTACCAGCACTGAAATGTATAGAAAAATCAGGTTCTCTCTGTGTAAGAAAGCCAGCAGGACAAAGAAGGAATAATGTATTGTCGGAGGCTTTCATGGCGGGAATCACTCAGTTCTTGTGGGTTTTTTCGGGCTATATGGCCATGTTCTAGAGGCATTTCTCCTGATGTTTCGCCTGCATCTATGGCAAGCATCCTCAGAGGTGAGGTCAGACCTCACCTCTGAGGATGCTTGCCATAGATGCAGGCGAAACGTCAGGAGAAATGCCTCTAGAACATGGCCATATAGCCCGAAAAAACCCACAAGAACTCAAAGAAGGAATGTTGAAAGGGGGGAGAGAAGGGGGCCCTGTTATCTATACATTCTAGAGAGACTGGTACAACATAGCCCAGCGTCTTCCTTCTAAGTAAGAAGCCTATCTCTCTCCCTCCTGACAGGTCAAAGTAGGCCCCTTGATTGATGGATGTAAGCTGTAAACTGCTCCTAGAAAAAAATATAGAGACATTCCTTTTGTATGTTGGAAGATAGAATTTAATATTTCTATGATGCTAAGGTGACAAAATGATGATGTCAGTGAAATGGCAGGGAGAAGGTTTGAGGAAAAAGAGATAAAGAGAGTCCCGGAGGTCTCAAAAGCATGGATTTTATTTCTAGCTGGGGCTCTGGAGTGGAGCTTTGTGTCCAAAAGCACCAGAGCCCCAATATAGGCGTTGAATATGGCTTTTATACCCTCCAATTGCAGTCAAACAAAGAATATGCTTCTACATACATTGACGTCATTCTCTACGTCATTTTAGCATCATACGAATATCAAATTCTATCTTCCAACATACAAAAGGCATGTCTCTGTGTATTTCTAGCAGCAGCTTACAGCTTACATTCCTCAATCAAGGGGCCTACTTTGACCTGTCATGAGGCTCCTTTTTACTTATCTCTGTTGCTACTAGGACAGGCTTATCTCTCTCCTGGAATGTTCCCCCGCCTGCCCGTGCCTTGGACACAGATCTCCTTCAGCATTCTTTCTATACAGAGAGAACTTGATTTTTCTATACATTTCAATGCTTGTAAAGTACATACAGTTTATGCATAAATCAATATATATTTTTTCCAATATCTCCCCATTATCAGTGTATGTAGATGCATGTTTCTTTGTTTGCCTGCATTTGGAGAGGTATAAAAGGCAAGGTCAATGCCTTTATCCACACTCTGGTTTGCTTTTGGACACAATTCCTCAACAGAGTCCCAGCTGGAAATAAAGCCGTACTTTTCTTTCTCCAGAAAGGATCTCTCTTGATATTATCTCTCCTAATCTGCTGCAACACCTCCAGATACTGGACTACAACTCCTATCTTCCGTATAATTAGACATCATGACTAGAGCTGATGGGAGATGGGATGCAGTAACTGATCATTTAATGCAGTTTGAAATCAGTGTCGAACTGGACAGCAAACGCCCAGGAAAAGGCACAGAAAGGAAGCCCTTAATGCACATCCCCGCAGGATTCCATGACATTGAGCCAGGGCAATTAAAGGGAGGTCAAACTGCATTCTTTTTCCAGTGTAAATGAACCCTAAGACTATTATGAGTTGGCTAGGAGATGCATGCTGTGGGCTTTCACTTTCTTTCTTTTCTCCAGAATTACATCAACTCTCAGCTCAGCCATTCCACCTGGATTGGCCTCTCAGATGAAGAGGAAGAGGGCATCTGGGAATGGACCGATGGCTCCACTTTAGCCATACAGTGAGTCTGCCAAGGCATGTGCAGGAGGTGATGCTTCCAAATGCCTATCCTTGCGTTCTTTCTCGAAACAAAAAGTAATCGTTTGCAGCACTTACCTTGGAGTCGCCAACATGTAGTCAGAGAGGAGTGAGAACGAGCACATTGTCCCACCAATAAGTCTGCTCCCCAATTGCAGAGACCTCTAACATAATCAGTGCAATTAGAGACAGATCAAAGAAATAGGGCAGAAAATACTAATGATATTGAACCCCCCCATACATCTTCAAAGCCTGGCTGCTTCCTGCCTGAGGGAATCCTTTATTGGGAGTGTTAGCTGGCTCTGATTGAGTCATACCTGGAATTTTCCTTTTTTAACGTGTTTTTCTTTATATACTGTCCTGATTTTAGATTTTTTTAAAATTCTGGGATCCAGAATTTGTCCATTTTCATGGTTTTCTCCTTTCTGTTGAAATTGTCCACATGCTTGTGTATTTCAATGGCTTCTCTGTGTAGCCTGGCATGGTAGTTGTTAAAGCGGTCCAGCATTTCTGTGGTCTCAAATAATATGCTGTGTCCAGGTTGGTTCATCAGGTGCTCTGCTATGGCTGACTTCTCTGGTTGACTTAGTCTGCAGTGCCTTTCGTGTTCTTTGATTAGCGTTTGAGCAATGCTGCTCCGTTTGGTGGTCCCTATGGAGCACTTAGAATGCAGAGGAGGGCGACTAAAATGATCAAGGGTCTGGAGAACAAGCCCTATGAGGAGCGGCTTAAAGAGCTAGGCATGTTTAGCCTGAAGAAGAGAAGGATGAGAGGAGATATGATAGCCATGTATAAATATGTGAGAGGAAGTTACAGGGAGGAGGTAGCAAGCTTGATCTCTGCTTTCCTGGAAACTAGGACACAGAACAATGGCTTCAAACTATAAGAAAGGAGATTCCATCTGAACATGAGGAAGAACTTCCTGACTGTGAGAGCTGTTCAGCAATGGAACTCTCTGCCCCGGAGTGTGGTGGAGGCTCCTTCTTTGGAAGCTTTTAAACAGAGGCTGGATGGCCATCTGTCAGGGGTGATCTGAATGCAATATTCCTGCTTCTTGGCAGAATGGCGTTGGACTGGATAGCCCATGAAGTCTCTCCCAATTCTATGATTCTATGATTTTAAGAGGCATTGATCTTTAACTGAAAAGCAAAATACAGAACCAAAGACCAGAACTTCTAACCCGGAGCTTCCAAGACAGGGGTCTTGAAAATCCAACGTTGATCTCCCATCAAACATTATCTCAAAACACTTAAGAATTCTAAATCTTATCCATGACATCATTCTTTCCCACACCTGGGTTCCCTTCGCTTATGTTTGAGCCTCTGGGGACAACGAATCTGTCTTTGCTTCACACAAAGAAACCATAATAATTGAGTTATAGGCAGAGCTCCTGTCTCCTCCACATTCCTTTCAAAGTCAATCCCTGGGAGATTCTCATGAGAACCACTTTCTGTTTCCCTAACAACAGATCTAACCAAAACATTCTCATCATCAGGAGGAACACTTTTGTTTTCCCCCACAGAAGTAACAGGCTCAGAAGTAAAAACCTCCACCAAAAGGTCCCCCTCCTGATCCTCAGAGACTTCACAGGCCTTAACAATTACAGGTCCACCATACGTGGAAAAAAGATCCTTTCACCTTCTTGTGTCTTCCTTAGGTACTGGTCCAGCAACGACGCAAGTCTCTCCAGGTTCTATGGCAACGAGGAGAAGGACTGCGCATCCATGGAGCCTTCACACAGCAGGCCCAGCTGGCAAGAAGCCAACTGCCATGACCAGAAGCAATGGGTCTGCAAGGAGAGCCTCGAGGTGGAACGACTGTGAAGCTGGCCTCGCCCTCGGACCTGAAGCAACACTAGCCAACAGAGTGTTTTTTTTTTCATTTCCATATCAAACCCCACGGGAAATCTACTCATCACAGAATAAATAAGGAAGTATGATTGAATGCAGATTTTGATTCATTTCTATCATTGGTTTTGATTCATTTCTATCATTTCTATCATTGGTGAGGCACAGAATGCTCTTTGATTGTAGGTGAACTATAAACTATAAATCCCAGTAACTACAACTCCCAAATGTCAAAGTCTATTTCACCCAAAATACATCTGTGTTCATCTTTGGGCATACGGAGTATTTGTTCCAAGTTTGGTCCAGATCCATCATTGTTTGAGTCCACAGTACTCTCTGGATGTAGGTGAACTACAACTCCAAAACTCAAGGTCTATGCCCACCAAATCCTTCTAGTGTTTCCTGTTGGTCTTGAGAGTCCTGTGTGCCAAGTTTGATTCATTTCCATTGTTGGTGGAGTTCAGAATGCTCTTTAATTGTAGGTGAACTATAAACTATAAATCCCAGTAATTATAACTCCCAAATGTCAAGGTCTATTTCACCCAAACCCCATCTGTGTTCATATTTAGGCATATGGAGTATTTGTGACAAGTTTGGTCCAGATCCATCATTGTTTGGGTCCACAGTACTCTCTGGATGTAGGTGAACTACAACTCCAAAACTCAAGGTCTATGCCCACCAAACCCTTCTAGCATTTTCTGTTGGTCATGGAAGTCCTGTGTGCTAAGTTTGATTCAGTTCCATCATTGGTGGAGTTCAGAATGCTCTTTGATTGTAGGTGAACTATAAATCCCAGTAACTACAACTCCCAGATGACAAAATCAATTTTTTTGAGTGATGGTCATTCCTTGGGTTAGTAGGTGTTGTGGCCAAATTTGGTGGAAATTAGTAGAGATCATATATATGTGAAAAAATGTGTAAAGGTTGGGTTGTTGTAGGTTTACCGGGCTATATGGCCATGTTCTAGAGGCATTTTCTCCTGACGTTTCGCCTGCATTTATGGCAAGCACCCTCAGAGGTAGTGAGGTTCAACAATACATTGTGTAAAGGTTATTTCATTATAACTGAGATGATTAACATGCTATGAGTACTCTTGTGTTGAAAGGGTTCCGATTTTGAGTATTTAAATGTATTTAAAATGTATTGTTGAAGGTTTTCATGGCCGGAATCACAGGGTTGTTGTAGGTTTTTCGGGCTATATGGCCATGTGTCAAGAAGCATGATGTTTCGCCTGCATCTATGGCAGGCATCCTCAGAAGTTGTGAGACCTTACATGGCCATATAGCCATATGAACCGGATTTGTTTGGATGAACAAATGAATTGCATTTGTAACACAAGCTGCTTCAGATATTTGCAGAAAGCTGCAAAAGCAACCTGGGTTTGTAGGGATAAATTTAAATCAACTCATGGTAATTGCCACCCAAGTTTACCAGGGAAGCGATGTGATGGTGCGAGTGGCACCGCCTGTGTGTAGAACTGTTAGTTGCAAGATTTAAACTGTTGTATCATGCTTAATCCTGCCTTTTTACCCTGCTTATGTATAGTTGGATTGATTGGTTATTTATAGCTGTCAATCAGTGTCGTTTACACCAGTTGAATTGCTCTCTCAAGCTCAATTGTTTGGCTCCACCTCTTCCTGGAGGAGGGGAGTGTTTCCCTTTTTTCTTTCTGCCATCAGAGTTTCTTTCGGATGGACGTGAGTAAGAGACTTGGCTCTAAAAGCCCCTGCTTAAATTACCTCTCAGCACCATTTTTAAGGTTTTTAACCCTTGGGACTCATGCTTTATATCCAGATCGGCCTGGACAATATTGAGGAGACCCAAGTGCCTTCAAGCCGGTTCTTTTGGCACCAGAGGAAGTTCTTGTCCCTTCAACATAGGCCATTGGACTGGGGTTGTGTTTATTCCGATATTCACAGCCATTAAGGAAAGAGGAAACAGGAAAAGCTTCTCAGCTGCAAACTCCTTGGACTTCAGAGATTGTAAAGTATATTTCCTTTATCCCTGTTGAAACATCAAGCTTATGCCTGAGAAAGATAACTCATTGTGAACAATAAATACCATTTCGAGTTATCTGTTGTGTTTTGGTCTTTGGGAGTTCCAGTTTTCTATAGGAGGGCAAGAAGCAATCCCCTGGGGAAAGATGCCACATCCATGCCTCTCTCATTAAGAGTTATAGCCCCCAGGCTCAACAGCACAAGGGAGGAAACGGAGAAAAATGAGAAAGGAGGCTAAGCAAGAAGATTATAAAGTGTTTTTGATGATGCTAGATGAGTGAGAATGAAGATGGGATGTAGCTGAGAGAGGAAGAGGTCGAAGCCAAAGGAGTCAGCTGCTGGATCTGGATCAATGTGCCAATTGATGGAAGAAAGGGCATTGGAAGAGAGATTGTCCACTATTGAAGACAGAAGAAGGACAGATTAATCGAGGGAAAGGAGCACTGCAGAGCAGCCGTGGAAGAGGATTAAACAGAGGGAGAGGTTTGTATGGATGGAATCAGCAGCCGGAGCAGCCTGCATACTCCTCCGAGGAGTTTGCAAAATCCATTCTCAAGGAAGCTGGACTGCAAATGTATTTTTGAATAATGACGCCAGAGAGGTTGTGCTTTTTATGTTTTTTTTTAATATCCCGGTGAACTGGCTGTGGCTTCTGTATCCAATAAGGTGGTGTCCTTCTTTCTTTCACAACAGTCATGGAATACAGGGCTGTTTGTCTTAATGTGCACAGTCAAGTCATCCACTTTGGGTTTGGCTTCCTTTTACACAACACTTTTGCTAACGCATCGCAATAAAACGTCTGCCAACACCGAAGGTATGTCTGGCACCTGGGTCTCACTGTCACACATATCTCTCTTTCACTTGGTCTAGTTTTTGCGGCTGGTTGATATGGAGCCCAATAGCTGAAAAGAAGAAGAAGAAGAAGATAATAATAATAATAATAATAATAATAATAATAATAATAATACTAATAATAATAATAAATCTTTGTATTGTCAAAGGCTTTCATGGCCAGAATCACTGGGTTGTTGTAGGTTTTTTCGGGCTATATGGCCATGTTCTAGAAGCATTCTCTCCTGACGTTTCACCTGCATCTATGGCAAGCATCCTCAGAGGTAGTGAGGTCTGTTGGAACTAGGAAAATGGGTTTATATATCTGTGGAATGACCAGGGTGGGACAAAGAACTCTTGTCTGCTGGAGCTAGGTGTGAATGTTTCAACTGACCACCTTGATTAACATTTGATGGACATCTAATCACCTCTCAACAAAAGATTGCTCTAGGCACTGTCAGGCCATTATATGCTAATCAAGGTGGTCAGTTGAAACATTCACACCTAGCTCCAGCAGACAAGAGTCCTTTGTCTCACCCTGGTCATTCCACAGATATATAAACCCTTTTTCCTAGTTCCAACAGACCTCACTACCTCTGAGGATGCTTGCCATAGAAGCAGGGCAAAACGTCAGGAGAGAATGCCTCTAGAACATGGCCATATAGCCCGAAAAAACCTACAACAACCCATAATAATCTTTATTTATACCCCACCACCATCTCCCCGATGGGGACTCGGGGCGGCTTACATGAGGCCAAGCCCAAACAACAAATTACAACAGAGTAAGACCAAAAAAGCAAACCGAAAATGCAAACAATAAGATGGCACTAAGATGGATCAAATCCTTAGCTACTTCTACGGGTCCATCTACCTTGCAGAATATATGCAGTTTGCCCCATTTGAACTGCCATGCCTCAGGGCTATGTAACCCTGGGAGTTGTAATTTGGTAAGTTCTTGGCCTTCTCTGTTTTCCATGTTCCGCTGCCTACCTCCCAGCACAGAGCATCCATCACTGTGGCCAAAGCTGTTTCTCTTCCAGAACCAGATCTGAAAGTGGATTGAAAGGTATCTAGACAAGATGTTTCATCCAGAAACCCTGGGAGCTCTAGAAGTAAAGTCAAATGCAATGCCAGTTTCCATCAAGCAATATCCAATTCCACAGAAGGCCAAAGAAGGAATCCAGCAACATCCTACTAGACTTCTACAACATGGAATTCCAAAGTCCTGTCAATCCCCTTGGAATACACCACTACTTCCCATTCAAAAATCCAATTCTCAAGATTATCGACCAGTGCAAGATTTGCAAGCCACCGTGACTATCCATCCAGTTGTTTCCAACCCATATGTTTTATTGAGCTTAAAGCCTGCTGCAGCCACACATTTTACTGTACTTTTTGAGACAAGTTCTCTCTCTGTATAAGAAACCCAAACTAACAGGACAAGCAAGCTGCGTCCAGGCACAGCAAGAGGGGAGCTGAAGGGGAGGCATGTTATCTATATATTCCTAGAGAGAGATAAGCCACAGAGGCTGGTACAAAAAGCCCAGTGCCTTCCTTCTAGGGAAGGAGCCAATGCCCCCCTCTCCTGACAGGTCCAAGTGGGCCTCTTGATTGATGAGTGTAAGATGCTTGCTCTTCAGAAAGACACAGATACATGCTTTTTGCATGTTAGAATATAGAATTTGATGCTAAGATGACGTAGTGAATTATGTAAATGTATGTAGATGTATGTTCTTTGTTTGCTTGCATTTGGAATCTATAAAAGGCCCAGTCCGCACCTATTTCATGGCTCTGGTGCTTTTGGACATAGTCCACTCCAGGGCCCCAGCTGGAAATAAAATCCGTGCTTTTTTAGACCTCCTGAACTCTCTTTGTCTCTTTTCTTGAAACCTTCTCCCTGCCATTTCTATTGCAATTGGCTTTTGAACAGGACGTGCTCTTTGTGCCCAGCGGGAGTGAGAGGCCGTAAGGATTTTCCTATACAGAGTCTTTCAAAGCTTGAAAAGTTTAACAAAGTCCTTTATTATTGCTTAGGTCTTCAACAAAACAATCAAATACTTCTCAGATCTTCAACAGGTCAAGCAAATACTTCAAGGCTTTGAATCAACTGGTGGCTTTCTTAATCTTGTCTACAAGGGACAGGCAACTGGCTTTGTGAACTGTTTCTTTTCTTAAGAGGAAAACCCTTTTTAACCCCTTCTTGGGCAATCTACTTTCTAAACTTTGCTGGTGTGGGCTCTACTCCCGGCTCCAAACTGCTTCTTGGG